ATATTGGACAGCGGGAACAGCTGATCAACCATGTGAGGTACCCCCTCCAGTAAGAACTTTATTATGTGATTGTTCAGAAGTTTGTAGGAGTGTTTGGTTGTGCTGAAAGCGCTCAGATGCTGTATTTTGCTTCAACAACTCACTTCAGAAAGAAAAGTGCCGACTTTACGAGAAAGCAGCAATAATGATAGTCAAGCCGTTAAAACTCATAAAAGGGGATACAACTGACATTTTACATGGTGGAATCTGATTGATGAAAACTTAGGAGCTTAATCCGGGATCAGTTTGTGGATGAATAACGTTGGGTGATGCATCTCTGACTTTTTTTTTCGCATTGTACTCCACCGGGGACAAATCCCACTGCCTGCTTAAATGTTCGCTACATCAGAACTTATTCGGCAAATGTGTTTCCATCTCGCGCATTAACTCTATTGCAGGATGGGGGAAATTAGCCTTGGCAGAGGTTTGCACTCTCCAAGTGCTTCTAGTTTAAAATATAATTTTTACTTAAAAATCTACTGTTACATTAAATTAAGTTAAAAAAAACACATTTTATTTTTTTTACTTCAGGTAAGGTATCCTAATTTCTGTGGTGTTCCTTCTCCAAGGGGTTCTTAAAAAATATATGAACACATGAGCAGAGTCAACGCTGTCCATTTCCAAAAACCTTCACACTGAGACCCGGATTCAAACCTTCTGTCTTGGAAAAACAACCAATGTTTCCATGTACACAATGGCCAAAGTGCAGTAGAAACAACAGCATTGTGTAAACTAGACCTCTGTTTGGAGAAAGAGTTTATTTTGACCAGATTGACAAGCAAATAGCTGACTTGAGCAGAACCAGGGTCAAAGTGGATGTTAGAGTGCACTGCATTCTGGTTAGCTGGACGTCACATTCAAATTGGTTGGAGTTGTCCCACTCACAGATTGTTCAATGGACTTGATGCTAAAGCAGTAGTACCTCACTTGGCTGAGACTGTTGGTGTCTAGTTGGAGAGTCAAAATAGTATGTAAAGGTCTTACTGTTTTTACAACCAGCAAGCAGAGCAGCTGCATTTGCACATATACAGGTGCTGGTCATAAAATTAGAATATCATGAAAAAGTAGATTTATTTCAGTAATTCCATTTAAAAAGTGAAACTTGTATATTATATTCATACATTACATACAAACTCATATATTTCAA